ATTCATCGAAAAAAATTTCCTAACTAAAAAAAAAGGAAATTTGCATAGAATTTATTTCAGGATCAAAAATTTTTTAATTGCATTGCTAATAGCTCTTTTTCTAATGAGTGCAAAATTTATCAAAGAATTATTAATAATCAATTTATTATGCCTACATATATAGAGGCAAAATTTCACATTTTTTATGAACTTTTAATAAAATTTGGACTAAAAATCGTTTTTAATATAAATAGATATCAATATTTCATTTTTATTGCTCAAAATTGTCAAATATTGATTGTTGTGTGCCCATTCACTCTTTTAATGTAGCTCTTTTAATCATCAGAAATGAATTTTGAAGCCCAAATGAAATAGATGAGAGAAAATATTTCATGAATTCAAATTAACTCATCAATTCCAATATCAATTTTACTCTCATTTTGCCAATTCCGGCAATCATACTACATATTTCAAAAATGTAATTATATGAAATTTGGATCAATTTCATCCTTTTCCTTCCACCATTTAGTTATAGACGAATAAAAACAAAAGAAAGCCTTAAAGATCATAATGTGCATTTTAAGTAAGCCAGTTTGAGAAATTTTTAAATTCTACTGAGAAATTGGAAATTATTCAAAAAAAGCTGGACAACGAATTGAATTTTAAAAAGTGAATATGCAAATAGTTATAGAAATGTTACATTTTAAGTGAAACCCAAAATAAAGCTACCGTACAGAAATACCTTACAAGCACCGGAAAAGTATAACGACTGGAGTATCTCATCTGATCGTTAATGGGAAAAAAAAGAAATGGTAAGAAAACAAGAAAACAAAAACTTATTAAATCATTCAGAGTAAAAAACTAATGTAATCATATTGATTCTTAATTTTGAATAAATAAGAAATGTACAATACATTAAATAAGAAATGTATAATAAATGAGAAATGTACGGATATCTAAAATGATATACCTATGAATGAATTAATAATATATATAGAAAAAATTCATTTTATCATAAATCAAAAAATGAATAAATTACCTGAACATAATAACTGTCAAATTGTAGCGTAAATATTTTTGGTACGGGTTGCAAATCGAACGTAAAACGCGGAATGGTACGAAGTATTTTGATTAGGACTTCCGAAGCCATAATTAGCGCAATATTAAAAATTAAATATTATGCAAATAAATCAATTGTTCGATATCAAACATACTGTGTTGGAGTTAGATGGTGGTGGATGACAATGATATTGTTGATTGGTACACCTGTAAAAGAGAATCATCAAATAAATAGTGCAATGATCCAAATAATCGATACCTTCCATTTTTGATATGATCATTCCAATCAGTGATACACGAAAGTTATAGACAAAAAAAGTGGGAAATGTCGATGTTAAAAGCAACGAATCAATCTAAACGCAAAAAAAAAAGGAAAAAGAGAAAAAAAATGGAAGGAAGAAAACGAAGAGAAAGCATCTATTTTTCATGAGCATGCCATAAGTGTAAAAGAAGAAAAAAAGGAAAACAAAGTTATAAAAATTTAGAAATTTTTAAAAGTAATGAAATTTTAAGGATAACAGCAAACAATCAATCAGATATAATGATAATTGGCAACAGTGATAATGATAATAATAAGCATAAACGATAAACAATAAACGATAAACAATAAACAGTAAACAATAAACAATAAACAATAAACAATAAAC